CACGTCAGTTCACGTCAGTTCACGTCAGTTCATGTCACCGACGTGTCCGCGCTCTATCCCTTCTGTAAACCGATTGAAAAACATCCTTTCTTTAAATCATTTTCTGTAAAGCAATTGTGCGGATCAATATGACAAGTCACGTACTGATATTTCAATAGTAATAAAACTAATACAGCCACAAAATAAAAATATTTAAAAATAACATTATTTTAATTTATTGATATTATTTTCGAATATATATCCGGTTATATCCCAATCGAACTAAATAGCAGCTTACACACACACACACACACACACACACACACACACACACACACACACACACACACACACACACACACACACACACACACACACACACACACACACACACACACACACACACACACACACACACACACACACACACACACACACACACACNAGAAACGATTGCCATCTGTATATCGCTAATAATAATTTATAAACCAAAATGAATCAAACAATTTTGTGACCGTAGATGGGCGCTATACCCGCTTTGTAGCGATGGCGTTTGAAATAAATAGGTTATGCTGCGTTCCGTCATGTTTTGTAAAACTTTTACTCTAATATAGACGTTTTATCGGCAGGGTGGGGAGGAAATACCAATTTTGCATTAAAGATATTGTCAATGAAATTTTGTAAAACGAACCAGACGAGTGTGACACCACAGACTGTTTGTGTCTATATAATATGCTATATAATTGCCAAACCCTACCTAATTTGCATAATTTGACGATGTCAGTTGTGAGCTAAAAATGTAAATGTAAATATAAATGTATATTCAAGTGTAATATTCAATACACTTGAATATACACTGATATTCAATACACTGCAGGGTTCTCCCTACGTTGCGCAAACGGGGCCCCGTTTGGAAAACTCCCCCTGTTTGAATCGTTGCGCCCCGTTTGAATTACCTCCGCCCCGTTTTAATTCCACCACAATAAAAGTTTGCCAGCGGCGGGATCGGTCAAGAATTGCGTTCGACCAGGACGACCGACGCAGTGTATTGTTTACCGTACGACGCATGCACTGCAGACAGTACACAAGTTAACCTGACAATGCACAGTTAACCTGTAACTAACTGTACACCGACTCGGCTATCTTATATATACAAACCCCAAATACCGTCTATGGTGTGGTGGGGATTTTACGCATTAAATTAGTCGTACGGTAAAATACACGCCCCCCGGACCCCCTAGTTTCCCCCTCCCCCTCCCCCTAGTTTCCCCCTCCCCCTACCCCTCCCTCCCCCCTGTTTGAATTTCATCCGGGGAGACCCTGCACTGAATATATTCAAGTATATTCAGTGTATATTCAATACACTTGACTTAATCCTAGCGTATATTCATAATTGTTGTTGTTGTTGTTATTCATTAATCCTCCTGTTACACGAGGTCATGGTCAAAATGTATACACGCTTTGTATCGTTCATGCTTTGTAACTCAACCAATGAGTCGGGGTGGCACTAGATACAATAATGTAACCCAAACCCAGGATGTAAACCCAAAACCAATAATGTAACCAACCCCCTATCCTGGGTTTGGGTTACATTATAATTATTGTATCTAGGGGGGCCGCTGCTCTCGAGCAGTCAATGTAAGCGGGCTATAGTACTAGAGCTACCTGTGATCGCACTTGGGCGGCATCCACTTTGACTTTCGGCCAATTGGCTACAGAATTTTGGGAGAAGCACCGTACTCCCGTAGCGACTATCCCTGGGGCCACTACATTACTAGCTATCTAATTATTTAATCAAAAATAAATAAATAAATAAATAAATATATATATATATATAGACATAATAGTTATAACAACAACAACATACTCGTACATCATTAGTAGTAGTACATGGTAGTGTGCACTGTGCATAGCACTGTGTACTCCGGATTCCATGTAGTGTCAAAGATCATATACAATATGTATATGATCTTTGGTAGTGTAGAATAAGCTCGGTTAGACGAGGAGGAAACTAGTTGGCTTGTATGTTAACACATCGCAGGCGCCATGTTTGCTTCGTTTCGCGGCTGATTACGCTGCCCAAGCGCATACCAACAAGGCACGTTCTCTCTCTGTCTCGCTCGCTTGTGGTGGTGGTGTGTTGTGCGTGCTGTGCGTGGCGTGCGTTGCGTGCGTGCGTGCGTGCGTGCGCTGGCGTGCGTGCGCTGCGAGTGTGTGTAATGTGTGTGTGCGCTGCCGGCGCTCACGTCACCCCCGCGCGCGTGGTCTGTGTGTGTGTGATGTGTGTGTGTGTGTGTGATGTGTCGTTGTGTGTGTGTGGTGTGTGTGTGTGTGCGCTGTGTGGTGGTTGCGCGGCGTCGTGCGTGCGTCGTGCGTGGTGCGTGGCGAGTGTGTGTATGGTGTGTGTGCGCGCGCGCCGCGTCGTGTGGTGTGTGTGGTGTGTGTGTGTAGTGTGTGTGTGTGTGGTGTGTGTGTTGTGTGTGTGCAGTGTGTGTGTGTGTGTGTGTGGTTGTGTGTGTGTGTGTGTGTGTGTGTGTGTGTGTGTGTGTGTGTCGTAAAGCATGCTATCTAGTCGATTCGGGATAAACGGAATATTATTCGAAAATAATATCAATAAAATTAAAATAATGTTATTTTAAAATATTTTTATTCTTGTGGCTGTATTAGTTTTAATTACTATTGAAATATCAGTAGTGACTTGTCATATTGATCCGCCAAATTGCTTTACAGACAAGATTGATTTAAAGAAAGAGATGTTTTTCAGTATGGAAGACCTGAAACGACATCGACTTTTTTTGAGTTTCAGTTTCTGAGTTTCTGAGTTTCCGCGTTTCTTCTGCGCATACTCAGAGGTTTCTATAATGTACGTCGATGGTTGCTCAATTAAAACTGACTTCTTCTTACTCACTCATTTGTGTCCTTTTTTTGTGGTGAGCTACAGTGTCATTGACACTTTCATATAATATATATATATAATTATACGGCTCAAGGATAGAGATGATGTCCAGATTGAGACCTATGTCATTTTCGTAAATGTGGGGGTAGCCACTTTAAAATCGACATGGGTGTTCTTGAAGATGTTGTTTGTTCATTTCGACCGAGAAACATTATGTCTTTACAGGAAGTCTGAAAAAAACTGCGTTTAAGCGACACTACTAGCCTGTTTCAGACTGTTTCTCACTATTGCTACGCGTGAGAATTTTCCGTGATGTTCCTGTGCTACGGCCCTCAAATGTATCTGCGTATTTGCGCGCTGCATTTACGCACTGATACTACTTGCTCTCGGCAGTAAATTATCTGGAAATCCGTTGATATTTGTAGATTTTTCAGAAAGTCATAAATGAAATAAGAAACAGTTGGCCATTGCTGTTCACTGTTGCCTACTGCCCTCTCGCGGCCATGCGGTGATGTATGTCAATTCGCCCCCGCCTCCTCTTCCAGCTGCGGCTTGCTGCGCACATCTGTCGCTGGGCGTGCGTAAGCGTTAGACTGGTACTCACTCCCGCCTCGATTACTCATCGAGTAACTATAAGCCGAGGGGTGCGACCGGGGACCAGTCTAGCGTCCGGGGAGGGGGGGGGAGTGCATACAGTGGTCATAGCCAGCGCCGTATAGACAAGCAAGATCTGATAAAACCCACGTGAATTCTTCTAGTTGTTTGTGTGTCGCTGGGCGCGCCTTCCTAACATCTGACATATTGCTGCCGGCTGCGCCCCTGCTGCATACAATTCTTCCAGTTGTGCTGGATGCATTCTGTACATGAATTAATATCTATCTATGTTTCCTAAATTAATCTGCTTACACAAGGATGAATTCTTGCCTGTCTTTTTAGCTTATCTGACGAAGTCGGATGCAGCTTGTAGAATCGCATGATCGTCCGTGCGTCCGTCCGTCCGTGCATCCGTCCGTCCGTCTGTGCGTCCGTCAACAGTTGGGCACAAATCTAAACGGCTCGACGTACGGATTCGAAAGTCGGGACGTGGGTGGGTAATTCGAAAACGAGTTGGGATGTTGAAGCTGGGAGTCAAAGGTCAAAGGTCAAGAGGTGTAAAAGAAGGGGGAACATTCCCTCCTTAACTTAAGGTATAGGGAGGAAATGCAGAATTGCGGCACAAATCTAAACGACTCGACCTAGGCTCGTGATAGTCGGTGTATAGCATCATGGTAGGAAAAGCCATCACTGTGCCGAAATTGGAGGTCACAGGTCAAAGGTCAATGGGCATAGGGCAGATTTTAGACATTTTCTGAGGACATGGTCTGACGGAGCGATTGAAAAACTTTTTTGTTTCAGCGGTGACCTAGCATTTTTATGGCTTTATTGAAAGGACCATGAAATGTACCTTCTGTTGACATGCGAAGAGTAAGTGTCGGATAACATTTTGACCCCGAAGAGGAGGGTTAAACATGGATTTGTTTACTGTCTGTTAGAAAGAATTTGACTGCCGGGTTTGCTAGTAGAATCTATACATGCCTGGATGTATGAGGCTACAATGTCACAGTGAAATTTCAAAAGCTAAATTTGGTTGAAGAAGGTTTATGCTCCTTAAATCGTATAATTTCTATGGCATTCTGTACTGTCAATATGTTACATGTAACGTATGCCACTGCCAGTGCATGTGGTGGTGGTACTGTGTAGTTTTTGCCTGCGTTAGTTGGTTACAGGTGGCAGCTCTCCATTGCAGCCTGTAGGCTTGCGTAGGTAAATGGATGAGTGCTTACCTATTCTGTCTTGCAAATAGTTGTTGCTACTACGTACGATGGGAGCTTCCATCTTTAATCTGAAGACACTTAAACGTACGCGCCATCTCGTGGAAACTTTCATAACGATCCCAACGAACATTCCTTTGAGAAGGTTCCTGATACCATCCCTGTGCATTCCACTGTTTCAGCGTGTATGTAAACACATTTGGGACTAACAGGGTTTACTAGAATCCCACCACTCCACCACAGAGTCACCGCAGTAGACGTTAGATGAGCGCTGTCGCGCCGCGGCACTTGTTCTATACTTTTCATGCTTTTATTCATAATGTTTTTCTTCTAGATGTGCATTGGTATTTAGAGACTAGAAAATGGGCAACCAGCTAACTGGAATTGCACCAGCACAAATACTTAGTGTTGATCATTACTTTTCTGATCTCCCTGAGTATGAATATGATATAAGGTAAGCAGTGTTTTTATACAATGATCCAGTGGATTTTGAATATAGTAAACAGCCAGGAAAGGTGCAAATATATGCTATATATATGTAGCCATTGTAATATAATTAGGTTATAAATGCTCTCATCATATAATAGAAAATAATATCATAGAATAAAGTTATATGTTACCCCCTTAAGTAGGGGTGTAACGATTCACTGATACATCAGTAAATCGCGATACAGCTGCCCACGATACGATAATCGATACGCAGCATTCGTATCGCGATACAAATGATACGGATGTTACAAAGTGAATAAGGCAAGCTAAACTGTGCACCTGTAATTCGTTTTAAATTTATTTATTTATTTTTTTAAACTCGGTAGCACGCAAATATCCTAGTCTGACTCTGTCGTCGAAATCTGTACGTGTCACTATTATGAGGCGCGCTTGTATTGCCGCCAAACTTGTTACCACAAAACAATCAAGAGTGCTAATTAATTGACTGGTGCATGTCGTTACTGCGCACGTAGAGCACACTCAGAACGTCTCGATGTGTTTCAGCCATAGAAATATATAGTACGTGATTGTTTACTATATATTTCTATGGCTTTGACCTACTAATTTTTTTGTGTTACGAAAGAATTGTAATACATATAACAGTAAAATAACATAAGAATTCGACCATTCATGTGAACTTCAAATTACAAACTAGTAGACCAAAATGAAGGTTTCGAAACTCATGCACTGTTTTGTGAAACCTGAATGCATGCTAATAGAAATTTCTAGTTATATTTTATTATTTATGCACTTACTATAAGGGTATTCTATCCCTATAATTATAAATGTACAAATAAACATTAATAATTAATAAAACTAGTAATTGGCATATGATTTTACAAATTTATCATAGCATGCAATTTACAATATCTCTTTTTGTGTCTGTGTATCGCGATACGTATCGTAACCTACGCTTCGAGGTATATGTATCGTATCGTAACCCTAGCGTATCGTTACACCTCTAATGTCAAATCTAAACATCTTCAAATGCTCATTTACAGTTTGGGAAGCACCCGCTTTTTCAAAGTTGCGAGGGCAAAGTGTAAAGAGGGGCTTACTGTCGTAAAAATATTTGCAATACACGACCCTTCTCTACCGCTGAAGACCTACAGAGACAATGCTGAAGGTAGGTTGATGTGAACGCTGGGCACTGTTTTGTCTCCAGCAGTTGTTGTTGTCAGCAAATGCTAAAATGAAAAGAAACTAGCATGTAGAGCTCATTTTTAAACATGTAAAATATTTGACTAAATTTGCGACAGAAAAAGCAATCGTAGCAAGGGAGATTTGCACTAGTGCCATGTGTGTATTATTTATTGCATCACCGTTTTGAGCTGCATTAGAGTGGCAGAAAGTAACTATTAGTTTTTGCTTGCTGTAGCATTTGTTACAGTGTTAGGACAATATAATGTCTGATAAGTGCTATGCAAAATCACTTCTTTTTTTTAATAAACAAATATAAGTTACTTTCAGAATTCAGAGGAACAGATGTGTGCTACAAACCATACATGTCAAATTAAGTTGTATTTGTAACATGTAAATGTATTTCACGAGTTTACATGTGTATATGTTTTGCTTCTTAGAAATAAAGCAGCGACTTCAAGGTGCAACGAACTGCCTACCATTCCAGAGAGCTGTGGTGAGTTATACCATCAATAAAAAGCAGCATTACCAACTCTACAAAATCACCAAATTGACACAAAAAGGACCAAATTGATCAAATGCCCAATATTAATAAATTGCCGATTTACGAAATTATCCAAATTACCAATTGTACACATTTTAAGTCACTGATTTGGTTGAAACACTGGTCGTGATTTAATTCTAATGTAGTTTTTTCTATATTCTGGAGCTGGCTTTTCATAATATGTGGTTATATTTTGCTACGGACAGTAATTAGCTAGGTAATTTTCCGTAGCTGCATGTTCGTGCGTTTTGGAACATTTCCGTGTTTAGTGCGTATTTTCTCCAACTTTCTAGTTCATAGTGTATGCATCAGTCCTTTTTAGGCTCGGTCATAGGGACGTTTTGGAGTCAGTATATAATAGTCACATGTATTTTATCTATTTTTTACACTGGTTTAATTATTTCTGCTAGTGTAATCATTTTGACGATATTTCTTAACAGATCACAGACAAGGCAGGTCTTCTGATTCGCTCGTATGTTAAGGCGAACCTTTATGATAGGATAAGCACAAGGCCTTTCGTCAATGCCGTGGAGAAGAAGTATTTAGCATTCCAGATACTGTGTGCCATTAACCAGTGTCACAAGCAAAATGTGAGCCCCCTATTCTATTGCAAATCAAACAGTGCATCCGTAATTAGTGTCATTTGCATGGGCTGTACACTTAATCATTGTCGCAGGCAAAATATGCATTGTCAACCATTGTCATAAGCAGAAGATACGATTACATCACGGTATTTTTACTTATTTAGTTGCCGTGATTGTACTCTAGATAATTTTTTGATGTCTACATGGACAAACTATTGTACCAACTCGCTGCAAATAGGGATGTTTATGCACCATTTAGGAGCTGTAGCTTAGGGTGTGAGTTAGGTACGTGTGAGTGCTAACTAATTCTTCCCTGCAATTTTTAGGTTTGCCATGGTGACATCAAATCAGAGAATGTGATGGTCACTAGTTGGAACTGGGTATTGCTGACTGACTTTGCCAGCTTTAAGCCAACCTATTTACCTGAGGTGTGTATGCGCACATTTTGGTTATTGTTGTTTTCCTACGCCTTGAAATTTATATTTAGTCATGCTTTGTGAGATTAAGTTTAATCAACACCAGAGATCAAGACAAATTACTTGAGTAAATACTAACTCCCTCCCAATTTGCTCTCTTTATCATTTGCTCTCATTCTCTCAGTCCATCCTTTCTACTTTAACCTATACTATATATATATATATATATATATATATATATATATATATCTTCCTGTCTCTGCTGAGACTATTGCTATATCCTGCACCTCTCTGTACACTATCTCCTTATTTCTCTGTTTCTTCCTCCCCTATCTCTAACTCTTCCCTCCCTTTCTTCCTCTACCCTTGTCTCCACCTTCCTACCCCCATGTCTTTCTCACTCTCCCTTTCCTTCTCTCTCCCTTCCTCCCCTCTCCCTTTCTCCCTCTCTCCCTATATCAGTGTCTATATCTATTCTACCATCCACACTGCAGGACAATCCGGCGGATTTTTCCTACTTCTTCGACACGTCTCGGCGCCGCACCTGCTACATCGCTCCGGAGAGGTTCGTGCGCGGCACGTGGTCGACATCCGAGGGCGAGGCGGCCGGCAACAGTGGCGCCCCCAACATCGTCGTGCTGCCCGACACGGACACGATGAAGTGTGGAGACCTGACGCCGGCCATGGACGTGTTCTCGGCGGGGTAACGTGTCCTGCTGCTTTTAACGTAGCTCTGCGCTTGCAGCGTTGCACTCTATTGTACACGCGTAGTTAACACGGCAATTGCCAGGGCGCACTGGTTATTGTATGTTGTAGAGGCATAGTAACAGAGATGGTTGGGTGAGGTGATACAACTTCTTTGTCGTGGCATGTAAAGGTGTTGCCAATATGATTCTTATTCTAGCAGAACTGTAAAAGGGTGCATTGTCATGTTTATTTGTTTTATTGCACCAACCCTAATTGCTAAAGAGAGGTTTCTTTGATAGATTCTATTCTTGATTGAATCTATGATTTCAATGAATTCTATGATTGATGACTTAGGTGTGTGCTGGCAGAGCTGTTCACAGAGGGCCACCCACCATTCGACTTATCTCAGCTCCTATCATACATCAGTGGAGAATACACGCCCACTAAGGTATTCTTAGATCAGCTCACTGACTTTTGTATTAGAGAGGATGTTCTCATTCGTCCAGTTCTTAGAGCCATTAACGATATTTACTATTGCAGTCACTGGATATTTTCTGCTGCCAGGCGACTGTGCGCTTATAGATGAATGCTATATGCGCCGTGAAATGCGTGAATAAACTTAGAAATAAAATAAAATAAAAGGTAGAATTGGTAATAGTTTACAACTGCCGCTTCACCGTATTTTATGTACTCACTAGAACGCTTACAAATCACACAGTAAATTTTAGTAGATGAGAGGGAGAGCCAGCCCCATGTCTTCTCCTGTGCGGGCTGTTTTATACCCTCCGTTGTAAAATGAGTCGTGATGCCCTTACCAAATATATTCCCACCAATCACTGCTGGCCACCGGGACGGCATAGGGTTTGGGATTATCGGCTATGGTCAGTTTTAAGTAGTTATGGAGTGGACGGCCAATGGCGAGTAAGGAGTGGAGATGTTTTACGCCCCCGTCGGCCACGTAGGTGACCGACGTGGGTATGACGTAGGACGGATGATAGATTACGGTAATTGAGTGTTAGCGGCAGTGTAGAAATAACTTCAGTCGGCTAATGTGTGTATCTAAGCTGTTACTTGCCGAAAGATGCCCAGTATTAATGGGCAGTGACGCGGTTGTAGTGTCCGGTTTGTAACAGAGCTAAGCATAACTACGTGTGTTCTATTCAGCATGGAACTAATTTTAACAGCTGTTTATGTGTCCAGCAGATAAATCGGGCTTTTAGCCAGCTGGTGTGATGTAAGATTAACCCAGGTGTGAACTGGTGTGATGATGCCGATGGTAGTGGTGGAATGCCATTAGCGTTGCTACACTATAATGAGCAGTTGCATTTTTCCCCAGCGCTCACGTGTAGCTATAGTGTAAACTATATAGCTTATATGCAAACTAGGATGTGGAAACCAAAACAGTTTCATGCAGTTTTGTTGAACATTCACGCACGCACGCGCACACATATTGTGTGTGTGCGCGTGCGTGCGTGCGTGCGTGTGTCAGTATATCTACACATATTACTTCTAAACTTTCATAATAACTTCTGGTTTCACTGCTGCTGCTGCTGCTTCTAGGTGATGGAGAGGATAGACGATGAGTGTGTGAGGGAGCTCATTGCTCACATGCTGCAGAAGGATCCATCGCTGCGTCTCAGTGCTGAGGAATACCTCACAGAGCAGCGTGGCAAGGCCTTCCCCGAATACTTCTACACCTTCCTCAAGGTCTACCTGCAGGGATTCTCCTGCGCACCTGTGCTGACAAGCGACGACAAGATCTCTAGGTGTGCTGTGGAGCCTGATTATTGTGTTGTGATGATGACCTGTGATTAATGAAGTCCAATATTCTTGTCCTGTGATGGCAAATTGTTTATCCACCTGTCTGTGTATACAACTGTTTGTACACGCTTGTCTGCTTACATTATTGTTTACTCCTACTGATTATTTATCTTATTCTTTGCATCCACCTGTTTGTTTGTACAATAGTTTTCATATTCTTGACAAATATGAATAGTTGTAGACTGATTGTAAACTGTGTGCATTAAAATTACATCTGCTTTATTTTTACGATTGTAGGTTAAAGAAAGACATAAACAAGATCCTAAAAACCCTCTGTGACAGCGACACAGAGAGTGACAGGTTAGTTTGCTAGCTCTGTTTAAGTTGATAAATATGACGGTTTTTTTATGTCAGAAGGAGCTCTAATGCTTTAATTGTAACTTTAATATGAGTCAGGAGTGTGATACATTTTCATTTACCATCTGCATTCACAGACACATGCAGTACGGGTGTATTGCAGCCTCGTGACAGTGTGTGTTTGATAACTAAAGGATATGTTAGCAATGCTGCTTGGTGGTGGTTCTCAGAGTATGGTGCCTATAAGAGCAATCTGTGTTTGCAACCAGGACACCTGTACAAGATTACATAGAGTTTCGCATTGAAAGCCACTATAATTACCGTTACCACTGTCTGTGGACACAGGTGGTAACAATGGAAAATCTTTCACACTAATGTTTGATGGCAGAATTACCAGGTCTTGTCATTATGAGGCAATGTCAGGAACGTGTCTTACTCGTGTGACCCATATTTTCTACGCTTCCATTCTCACTGTTCACATTGATATGATATGAGACCAATTATTTGCAGAGAGAGAGAGAGAGAGAAGAGATGAGAGAGAGAAAGAGAGAGAAAGAGAGAGCATGGTGCTATATTTGCTAGTCTGTGTTTTACAAGAGAGAGCATGGTGATGCGACACAGTGCTATAAACTGCTAATTGTGTTTACAGAAAGAGCATTGTAAATGTTACACAGTGATATATCTGCTAGTCTGTGTTTACAGACGAGAGGCATGGTATGGCTACACAGTGCTATAACTGTTCGTCTGTGTTTGCAGGGAGAGGCAATGGTAATGCTACACAGTGCTATAACTGCTAATCTGTGTTTACAGAGAGAGCAATGGTAATGGTTACACAGTGCTATAACTGCTAATCTGTGTTTACAGAGAGAGGCATTGTAAGTGTTACACAGTGCTATAACTGCTATCTGTGTGTGCAGAGAGAGCATTGTAATGTTACACAGCGGCTATATCTGCTAGTCTGTGTTTACAGAGAGAGCATGGTATGGCTACACAGTGCCTATATCTGCTATAGTCTGTGTTTACAGAGAGAGGGCATGGTATGGCTACTCACAGGTGCTATATCTGCTAGTCTGTGTTTACAGAGAGAGCATGGTAATGTACACAGTGCTAAATCTGCTAGTCTGTGTTTACCAGAGAGAGCATGGTAATGTTACACAGTGCTATATCTGCCTATTCTGTGTTTAAGCAGGGACACTGGTAATGTTACACAGTGCTATAACTGCTCGTCTGTGTTTGCAAGGAGGCCTGGTGATCATCGTTGCCATTGATAAACTCATGCTGCGCAGCCTGCGGTACTGTGTGCTCTCACAGCTGAATGCCTGCTGGAGCTGATGCTGAGTATCGTGCCACACGTTAGCTCTGACATCATCCTCGATAGACTCGTGCCCACCACATGCTGCACTTCCACCAGGTTAGCCATACTCCTTGTAATGCGCACACTGCATAGTGGAACATTACTGTGTGCGTGCGTGCGGTTGTGTGTTGCAGTCGTGCGTGTGGTGTGTGTGTGTGTGTTTTGTGTGTGTGTGTAATGTGTTGTGTGTGTGTGTGTGTGTGTGTGTGTCTGTCTGTGTCTGTGTCTGTGTCTGTGTCTGTGTGTGTGTGTGTGTGTGTGCGTTGTGCGTGTGTGCGTGTGTGGCGTGTGTGTGTGTGTGTCAGTGTTGTAGTCGAGTCCGCACCTCCGCAGTACGAGTTCGAGTTCGAGTCTGAAGTCCGAGTCCGAGTCTGCACCCGCCGAGTCCGAGTCCGAGTCTGCGCCACCGAGTCCGAGTCCGAGTCGCAGTGTCCACACCACCGCGAGTCCGAGTCAGAGTCCAGTTTTGATAAAAAAAAAAATGTGGGGCACAGACCCGACATTAGGCCGCTCACTGCTATGTATGTTGTTTCTTCAAAACTGGGGGTGTCTCCTGCCTCCATGATTCGCTGAGCGCAATGTAATGTGTAAAACAGTTTAAACTGAATAAACACGGTATCAGCGCACAGTGGTGTATCATTGTTAAAAAAAGCATGTTGAGAACCTATATGCCCGGAAGTAGTACATGTGATTGTAAACCTGCTAGCCGGCAGGGAGTGTGCTAGTGATAGCGCGCGCATATACTACATTTCTGATATTGTAAACGCGTGGTGTGGTTTATGGTGAAGTACGTACAAATGTTGACACTTACAAAATTTTTGTAATACATTTGTAATATAAATAGTATATTATATACTATAATTAATATAAATAATATAGACAAGAGACAGTGCCGCAAAGAAACAGATTTAATAAAGAGGAAACTAAGCCTGTGACAGTACAAAAGCTAATACAGTGTTGGCACATCCACCCGATAAGCCATGTGTTTGCGCAACCGCTACGCGAGCCTCTAGCTTCACACACTACACAGGCAAAAATCAATGTAAATAAACAGCTAGTCGCATAAATTTAGGTAGGAGTTTTAGTTTTTAAAATGTTTGTAAACTGCGTGTTTAACAATATGTACAGTTATGTACTATGTAGTGGTCTCGAGCCAGCCTCGACCCGAGTCCCTCGAGTCCGTAGAGCTTGAGTCCGAATTCGAGTCGCGAGTCATTGCACTCCGAGGCCAAGGCCGAGGCCGAGAAAAAAGAAACGAGGACCTACAACACGTGTGTGTGATGTGCGTGCGTGCGTGCGTGCGTGCGTGCGTGCGTGCGTGCGTGCGGGTGTGTGTGTGTGGTGTGTGTGTGTGTGTCGTGTGTGGTGTTGTCGTCGTGGTATGGAAAGCCATCCGCCTTTCAAATCATTTTCAACACATTTCAAATACACAATTTTAAATGCAATTTAAAGCATTTCAATTAATTAATAAAAAATACAAATTACTTTATATGTTCGAAAAATTTTAAATTCAAAATTTAAAAATCAATTCACAGAATATACAACAATTTATTTAGACTTGCGAAATTAATTCACAACTTTCGCAGAATAATTGCCATGATTATAAGCAAATTCCTTCACATCATATTGTAAAAATTCCATTTTCTAAATGTACCAATTTATTTTCAAAACAACAAAAAGCCAATATTTACTAACTGCAATTCTTAATTGTATAAGCTGTTAGCTATAAACTCACAAATGTTCAAAACTTGCTTGCATCACCCTGGACAATTGAAATTAATAAGTTTTTAATTAATTTGGCAGAATCAACGAATCAGTTTCACTAAGTTTGAAAATTAATTTATTACTTTTAAAGATTAATCACCAGAAATGCGATCTGAAGCTGTTGGTTATTCTTGAGAATTATTAGGGTAACAACAGACAAAAATGTTTAGCTTAAATTACTAAATTTAACATAAAGCTTCAAAGCAATATAGGCGCCGCCTATAAAATGTTTACAATCAAAGAGGCTAATTAACAATCAATTTATGCAACTTCCAATCTATTCAAAGGACGCTCTGAAATAAACTTACTACTAGCGGGTTTAGCAAGTTTGCCGCCCACTCTTGTATTGTTTCCAGGTCCCGTGTGCAAAACTAAGTTCAGGAAACTTACAAAATGAATTCATGAGGGCTTGCAATCTAATTCACTATCACTTTTCTGAAACGGCAGTCCAAGCTACAGAACCAAACTCACAAAATCAATTAATGTCTAAAAAGTGCCCGGATGCGTTCAAGCTCGATGGATACTAGATAGGTAATGGGAGGATCCCGATTATTTAACGGGACGCTGGCAGATAATTGTAGAAAGTTGTGAATTAATTTGGCAAGTTATAAAATTGATTTGTTATCTGTGAATTGATTTAAATTTTGCAATTTAAATTTCTTGAACAATATAAAGTAATTTGTATTTTTATTAATTAATGTTTAGAAATGTTTTAATTGATTTAAAATTGTGTAATTTGAAATGTTTGAAAAATGATTTTTGAAGGGATGGCTTTCCATATTCGTGTGTGCGTGCGTACGTGCCTGCGTGCGTAGCGCAGTTCCTGATGTTTGAATTGCCACGAAATCAGATGTAATAACATAGTATAATGTATAGTATCCAGAGCGTATTAAGTATGCTTATGTAATACGCTCTTGATAGTATACATGTTACATATATGCCTTGCTGAAGTTCATGCGAGAGAACACGTGTGTCTTCACCAGCAATGCGTGCACGCGTATAACACAGTCTCTCCATCACCAGCGACACGTTCGCGCGCGTGCGGGCAGAGTCTGTGCGCACGCTGGCCCGCTGCCTCGCCATGGTAACGTCGGTGCCGCGTAACGACGCCAACATCTTCCCGGAGTACATTCTGCCCAGCCTCTCGGCGATTGCTCAGGATGACGTCGTCTCTGTGCGCATCGCCTACGCCGAGAACATCGCGCTACTCGCCGAGACTGCGCTCAGGTACCAGCGCCCCCTGGTGTCCATCGATCAGTAACCACGCTCGAATGTAGGATATGTTGCCAGCGCCCCCTGGTGGTTGCCGACCTGTAGAAATATTGTGTTTGTGTTACTGTTCTTATATGTCTAAAGTCATCTCTCACTATTCTTATATGTCTAACATTATCCGTCACCGTTCTCATATGTCTAACGTCATCCGTCACCGTTCTCATGTCTAACATCATCTCTTACTATTCCCATAACGTCGTCTCCCGTCGTCTTCATCAGGTTCCTAGAGATCAGTCAGCTGGGCACGGCAGAGGCCGAGCAGCAGGCGAGCTACGACCTTGAACTGCAGGCGCTGCACGAGGTCATCCAGCAGCGGGTCGTGACCCTGCTCAGCGACGCCGACAACATCGTCAAGCAGACGCTGCTCGAGGGCGGCATCGTGCGGCTGTGCGTGTTCTTCGGGCGCCAGAAGGCGAACGACGTTCTGCTGTCGCACATGATCACGTTCCTCAACGACAAGCGTGACTGGCAGCTGCGCGGCGTGTTCTTCGACGCGGTCGTCGGCGTCGCCGCGTACGTCGGCTGGCAGGGATGCGCGATGCTCAAGCCGCTGCTGCAGCAGGGCCTCAGCGACACGCAGGAGTTTGTCATCGCCAAGGCACTGAAGGTGACTCTCTCAGCTTGTGTGTGTGCATGAGTCGATGGTTCTGACACTGCAGAGATGCCAACCAATACGATTTATCCGTATTTTATACGAATTTCTATTCCTTTTGCACCACTACGACCAGTTTGTATCAAACTACGAATTTCACTGTGATCGGGAAATTATTTTTTTTGTCGATTATTGTAATTTTTTTTTAATTTGTTGTCATTTTTGACCCTCAGAATCCAGGAAATTGCATCTCAGATTCAAAAAATTTTGCGGGGGCATGCCAGACCCCCTAGCAAACTCAGGTCACTACGTGACCCTCAAACTACTAATTTGATGGCCAGAAACTACAGATTGCTTCAAATATGTGTTGGCATATCTCTGTGACAGTGTTTCAAACTTAACTATAGCGGCATTACAGATAGTGAAGTGTTTGGTGTAGCTAGGAATGCTATAAATGCTGCTGTGTGCGTCGTGATGTTTAGTGTTTGGTGGAGCTAGCAATGCTATAGATACTGCTGTGTACGTCGTAATGTTTATGCTTTCGTACGTACGTGTGTATGAGCGTTTTAATAACCATGAAGAGTTTGTTAAAGTTAGGGTTGCTATAGAAGCTGTTGTGGACATTGTGATGTGGGTGCGTTCGTATGTACGTGCGTGCATGTGCGTGTTACAGGCTATAAAGTGTTTGGTAGAGCTAATTAAGGCTGCCATGGTCTATGTCTCCCTGGGTACTGCCGGAACGTATCTAATATGCCGGACCGTACCTCGCCTACTCCACTAACGAGTCTAGGGAGTCGCCTACATCTACTCCCCAACCCTAACCCTAACCCTAACCCTAACTATATCAGATAGTTACCAGGGTACGTTCCGGCAGTACCCAGGGAGACATATAGACCCTGGCAGCCTTAATTAGCTCTACCAAACACTTTATAGCCTGTAACACGCACATGCACGCACGTACATACGAACGCACCCACATCACAATGTCCACAACAGCTTCTATAGCAACCTTAACTTTAAC